CTTGAGCTTGCTGTTGTTTGTTCAGCAGCTGGAATAGGAAAATGCTCATAAAGGTTTCATATATTTTAGATTGATATACATACTTATATCTAAATACAAATATCTGGATATAGATATACATGCCAACAAGAAAGAATGGAAGATGGAAATGAATTTTGTGAAATACTTTGCCTGACAGAAGTTACCTTAAAATGAATCAACATTTCAATAAACAGTTTTGACTGCGCACAATATTATGATAAACATAATGGCTGAATTCACCAGGCAACCACCAATTATCCGCATCTAAGGCATTCATTGCTAGGTATTTATAGAGCTGTATCTATGCAGAAGTAAAACATATCTTATACCACAACATACAGATGTTTCACTAGAATCAAGATAGATAGAAAGTGATTAATGGAAAGATTTTGTTGTTGCTGTACTGATTTTTAAAGAGGACAGCAAATGGCAGTTCAAGATAGCAGTGGCTTGTGATTTTTAAATAGTAAAATATTTTCTTTTAAACTAAAGTAAATGCTTGGTAACCAACTCATCTCTAAAGGATATGAACTGAGTATTTTTGAGCCAAACCCTGCAGAATGACATTCAACTGAATATTATGCCATTTGCTACCGTTACTGAAGAACTGCATGCATGCATGATAATTACAAGAAATTCTGCTCCTTTGACCTCTAATACCAGGCATCAGTCACCACCGCTTTCCGTTTTGAACTACTCATTACACCCAAACCATATAGTGCTTGAATTTTGAACCACTTTAACAGCTTTCCATCTCACTTGTTAACTTGGCTTCCACATTTATTATTCCCAATATTGTAAAAGGTCAAGAACTTAATTCCCCACTGCCCTGCACATACTGCATTCATTTATATTTGTGTGAGGTGAGTGTAAGCTTTCCAGTTTCATTTAACTGTATTTTCAGTTTGATTTTTTGCATTGGTATAATTGCTGCAAGTGCCAAAGGCACAGAACAGCATTAGAGACAACTCAATGTTAATTCGATAGACTCAAACAGAGTACCTAATATGACCTTTCTTTGAAGGTGACTGTGATCTTTCCAACAGCTTCAGATAAGGTGTAGAATGAGGTGCTAGCAGAGAAAACATAGCATGGCATAGACAGAGGACTGACCAAATAGAAAAACCTGCTACAAGTAACCATTACGGTACAAAAAATAAAAATAAAAAATTAAATGCGCCCCTATTGGATAAAAGGACAATAAAGACCACAGGTAATAAAAACTCTAAGAAAGGTAACTGAAGAGAATCACTGAACAGTTCAGGCAAGCTGGGACCACTGTTCAAATTTCCTTGTGGATTGATAGACACAGAAGGTAAGGTACCTAAAATACCAAAGGTCAAGGATTATAGCTGCAACTGATGTTCTGCCTGACGACTTTATTTAAATATGATGGCAATAAAAATGGTACATGTTATCTCTTCATTTTGAGGGAAAATAGATGCAGTTAATTTTAACATTTTAAACTTACAAGGCATGGAAAGGAAAAGTTAATCTATATGTCAGAATTTTTAAAGGCATGGGAGTAGTTATGGGTGAAAACACTGGTATTTTCCGAATTCACTGCCTGCCCCAGTTGCTCAGCAACTTGACATCACCAGAGCTCAAGTTTCCAGACAAGAGCCAGCAAAAGACTTGGAAAACCTGAACTTCAAGCACTTAATTATTAAGCACCTGATTCAGAACAGAATTCAGAAAGATATTATCATCCTTATGCAATTCCTAGGGAAAACAAGGCTCTGGGGAAAGCAGTTCTGATCAGCCAGCAAAACCTTGCACTGAGACACATACAGAAACTACATAATCCTGCTTTTCTCTGGGGATTAGGTATATTAACCACAGCCAAAAGCAAAGGCTTCTGTTTACTTGCAGGCTACAGTGGAGAACCCATTTGTGGGTAAGGTAGCCACCACTCTCTTAGGGAACCTGATCCTGCTCAGTAGATACGGAGGTGATGATCATCAGCCTCACCTGCAAAGCTGCTATCTTAATAGATAAATTAATGCCAGAAGTGGATCTTAGTTCTCATCTTTCTGAAAAGCATTTAATGACAAAATTACAGACAATTCTGAATGCAAGGCCTCAACTATTTCCTAAAGTTGTGCCAAGAGATGTTCTTCCATCTATGCTACTTAAAATTACTGGAGCTAGAACACATTAAGTTGCTAAAAGAGACACCAAAATCATCTAACCAAACAAACAAAAAGCTCTATCCCTGCTGGATAACATTTTCAAAGCTGTCCTTCTACACAAATTTTGTTCTTTGCTTGATCTGTTATTCTTCATAAGCCTTAAATTCCAAATGAAGCCAAGGCAGTGTGGCTCCTACAGATCAGCATTTATTAGAAACAAAACCCTCTTTTTGTTAGTTTTCTCCCCTTTTTTCCCTCCAAATCCACGTATATCTGAGAGCTCAAGGCTCTTCCCACCTCCATTATACCCTGGCACTTTCACACACCATACATATCTGAACCCACCCCACATTGCTCTGTGCTGGATTTCCCCCCCAGCAGGATAACAAGCCCTGCTGACAGCTGGATCACAAAAACTGCATCAGACTTCAAAATGATAATGCTCATCCAGGAAGGCACAAAGCAAGTTACACAAAGGGTCACACAACAGCACACAAAGTGACCACAAGTTTCCATGCAGAATCTCCCCCCATCCCTCCATTTTGGGAAGGGAACATTTGTAGGAAAAGTGAGGAAAACTGTAGAAAAGCACACTGTGCTTTACAGCTTCTCCCAATGAGCTCATAAGCCTGATCAACTCCATGACCACAGCCATCAGCGCTAATTATTTATACAGCATTAGCTCTAAAACATCATATACTTGCAGCTAATTTTGAACATATTGTTGAAGACTAACAGCTTTCTATAGTGAATGATGATGATTAATGCTGTGCAAGATTCTACCATTAGCACAAAGTAGGCTGCTAATGAGCAAATTTAGCAAAGTTCATTTCTAAAGTTTAAAACCAGCTGGAGTGGTCAGTTTTCTAAACACTCAAAAACAGCCATTTCTAAAGCCTAAATGATTGTCCGGCTATATGCAGACGCCATGTAAATTAATGACGCTTGAACATTTATTTTTATCATAATATTTGTAAGAGTTAGAAAAAAATACCACTTACAAATACTCCCTGGAGGGAAATATCTAAGTGACAGGAATACTTGTCATCTCAAACCAATAGGCACAGCAGATCAGGCACCCAATAACTGAATCAAATACTTTCTGATCTGTTTTGCTGAAGGAGGAAGGCATGCGAAAAGAATATCAAATACACATATTATTAAAAGTCTTATGCCAGCAGATGGCTCCTGTTCAAAGAGAGTATGATTTGTATATAAAAATATGCAAACACTCAAAAAAGCCTTCTTCCAATTTAAACTTGGAATGCAGGATTTTTTACATTTCTCCTCATACCACATGGATGATAAAAGGAAAAGGATTCTTTGTTCTTAACTGTACAATGGAAATGACTATGGCCTATGTTGGCCAAGGCTCAATTTTCAGGGCAAGTCCATGAAAGTCATGCTAAGATTGTTGTTAATTAACAACCATAATCATTTTCTGAAGTTACCATAATAGGAATATTAGACAAGAATATTAGACAGTTATTATGGTTGTGAGAAAGTCATCAACTTTTTTAAGATGATAACATAAGAACTAATTCAACTTGGTTTGAACACAAGTAGCAGCTCTTCCAACATCACTGCTTTTCTCTTTTGCTACCACATGAATGGAGGCTTTCTGCTCTCTACTGGTGTAGCAGCAGTGGTGAATTGAACAGAGTAAGAGAGCAAACCCTTGTGATAAAAAGCTATAAGGCAGGCCACATCACAGCTGACCAAAAAAAATTCCCAGCACTCATGTCAAATCTGGACACCAAAATATCTTATCTCAAAGGGAAAACATTCCTCGCAGATCACAGCAAAAGCATAAGACCACAGCAAACTTATTTCTACAGCTGGGGTTTGCTTCTCCTCAAGGAGCGAGAACAACCTGAGCTCACAGCCAGTTTTGTTTTGCTCTACCACAGTGAACAAAGAATATTCCTCAGAACAGAGGAGAGAAAACCAGACCAGTTTTCAAGGTTCTGCTTGCTATGCTAAACCTAACCCAAAACCTAACCCTAACCCTAAACCTAGCACCGTAGATCGAACCCTAACCCTGACCCCTAACCCTAACCCTAACTTGCTTCAACCAGAAACTCCTGCAGTACTCTTACACCTCATTATAATAATGAAGCTACTAGCTGTGGTGGTGTTCTTTTTTTTTTTTTTTTTTTTTTTAATTTATTTATTTCTCACTCCTAAACATATCAAGGCTTGCAGATCAAAAGTAAAACAGATGAACTTTCTGTGGCATTTCTTCCTTTAAATTTGTCTTCCTCTGATTTTGTAAGCTTTACTGTAAACAGCAATAACTGGAGACAGCAGATGAGTCTGTTTGGGTTTTGTCTAGATAAAAAAAACTGATTCTGTTACTACACTAAGTCCTGTTTAACCATTACTTTTGACATCTTTGAGCCTTGGACCAACCCATTACATTAGCATATACATCAAGATAGCTTAATTACACATACTCGACAAAGCATACTTACATAAATATCCAATTATAGCTTAAAACAACACTCAACAGGCATAGCCATCTGTGATTGAAGATTTCTGTTGTTAAGGCATAATGGTGTACTCAGTTTCTTCCTTTCTGAAGACATTAAATACTTTTTCCAGTTACAGTGAAGAAACACTGGTGTAGCAATTGTTTCAAGTGCAGCAATGCATTACCTTGACAATTTAAAACATGAATTTACAAGACAGTCTGCCATTATTCCCTAAACCCCTCCCCCCCATCAACGTGAAAGTAAGTGCCTTTTTAAAAAGAAAAAAAAAAACAAAAAACTAATTACCGATAATACTGGAATTAATCACTTGCCTATACATAAGCAAAACAAAGTGATGGTTCTTTTCTTTTACCTTTTATTTTCAAAATATTGTTCATTGCCATTTTCATTCTAGGATAAACCACCAGCATTTTTGCAACTGAAAGATAAAATGACATTTAAATATGTCTCAGAAGAGTAGGAGTCAATCAGGGTAGGAAGAGATAAATGCATGATGAGATATATTTAGAAAGCTCTGTAATGACATACTGTTTTGTGGTGGGAGGCATTTAAAAAACACTATTAGTCACTCTGCTGAGTACAGAACTGTGATACTGCTTTTACCAGTAAATACAGATACAGTACCAGCTGCAATTACCTGAGGATCTTAATGTTCAGTTCCTGATGATAACCACAGTACACAGTACCCCAGGACCCAACAAACATTAGCACATATACCGGCATTATCTTTGAGTAAATCTGATATGTTTTAAATAAATAAGGGTTTCTCCCTATGTAACACTTCTTACCTTCCTTATCAAAGTGTTCTGTGGTCTACGAAGTGTCAAACAAATCAGGTATTTATGTTGTTATATATCAGAAATCTTTTGGTATAGTTTCCTGCATTTTTATATGTTAGATTACTGTATTTTGAAGGAAGCATACTATTTAAGATTTTTATGGTATCTACAAAAAAAATCAAGCCTTTTTCCAAATGATAAATTTTAATCTTGTAATATGCCATCAGTCTCATGCCTGTAGATTCAAAGAAGATAGTTTCAGTCTGAAAATCATACATGATAACATTACCTTCGAGGGCAACTTGCTCTTAAACTTCTTCAGTTTGAAATATAATAAGAAATAGAAAACAAATTAAGGAAAAAAAAAAAAAAAAAAAAAAAACAATAAAAAGTACTTTAGTATGATTCTAAAGCAATCACTAAGCAGAAATAGAAGTAGAAATACCAACTTCATTTTCTTTAATTATTTAAATAATTCTGCTTTCCTTCTCACAGTACTGCTTACCAAATGAGTGTTCAGGCCTTGCTTGAACATATGATGGCAAAATGTTGAAAACCTGTTTTACTAAGGATAGAGCCATTCTCCATATATTTGCTGCATGTGAGAAATATTCCTTACAAGTTCCCTCACTAAACCTGTGTAGACAGCTCTGTGGAGAGCACAGCACAGCTTAAAAAGGCTACCCAGATCTTAGATCAAACTGAATTTGCCAGGGTAGAGCTCATCATGGCAAGCACATAGGCTTTGTAGAAACTCATGAATTAACACTAAATTGGGTAAATCCAACTGTGAGCACTTATTTTTAATTTTTACATTTGGGGACAAAAATAAGATGTTACAATGCCTTCAAGTGTTCATAATGCATTCAGATTTTGTTATCTAAACAATATCACACTTAAATTTACAATCCATCTATCATTATCCAAGGAGTTACCCAAATGATAACCAAAGATTTAAATTAAGCATGTATTGCTATAATGCCTTTGAAAGAAATAACATCTACCTTGTAGACAGTAACCAGTGAGAGGACATGTTATAGCAGCTACTTCACACTGACTCTTGTTAATTCATACTGTACATTAGCTTCTACCAGTACAAAAGCTACAAACAGAAAGGGAATGAAGGTGGCAAAATCCCATGTCATCAGAAGTCATACAAACTGAAATTTTGTTCTGATTTAGTACTAAACCAAAACTTTGTGATGTGGCAATAATCAGTGTTTCAAAAAAGCAAATACTTAACTCAAATGTTTATAGTAATCCAAAATAAAACAATTTCAAAAAGGAAAAAAGCAGCTTCCTTGGAATAATTACACCCCGATCCCAGGACATCACAGGAACCTACAAGAACCACGTTTCATGTTCTTTTGGTTTTGGTGAGATGGGGGCAGGAGGGACTTGGTCTTCTTTCCATTAGAAGCTTTTGATTGAGGCACAAGAAAGTGTGTTGTGGTTATGAGATATAAGCATAGGAACAGCCTGAGCTCTTAACTAATTGTATCCTTTACTATGTATGCTTTTATATTTACAAGTAGTAAAGCATACATATTATGTATCGATTCAGTGGCATGATTTCTTTCAGTTACATATTCACAATTTGTTGCAATTAAACTCCATTAAATTCAGCAATTTGGCATGGAAAATTCATTTAGATGCCATGAAACTCTCAAAAACATTCAGACTGATCACTGTTTTTAAACCAAACTGTAGAAAACAATATTTTGTAGAACTTAAGAGGTCAATCTCATTTCGTATTTAGAAGACCCTAAAAATAACACCAACTTCTTGCTTTTAATCAATGAAAACTTGCAATCTTCCTGAGGGTTTTGTTGGCTGATATCCATTTTCTAATGCATCCAATACAGCTGCACAGAAAAATCCCAGATGTATGCTAGTTTTCTCCTCTTTCAAAAACCCTCCTCTTTCAAGAAACCACCCACAACAGTTTCCATTCTTTTAATTATGAGCTTATTTGCTCTAATGGTTTGCATTTCAATCTCAGGCAACTAATAAATAATGCTTCAATCAACTTGCAAGTGCTGAGCTGCAAAAGAAGTGAACCTTATTGCTCTGGTGCACAAGACTACCTCTACAGCTTGGTAGAAAATTTGTTTTCCTGAGGAAAAAAAAATTAATTTTCACATATGAACTGTCAGATTTAGCATTTTAAGAAGGCAAAAGCTAGCTGGCAAATCAACACCACAGTTCACTTAAGAGATTTAATTTTAATAAAACCCATTTTTCAGGAGTTTTCATATTTTGCTCTACTTTTGCACAATTTTGTCCTATCAGGAGGTTCCACCTTTTAATTAATCTTAATTTTTTGAGTACAAAGATAAGGTTGTGGGGGTTTTATCAGGTTCTGAGGAGAGTTTGCACTTGTTTCAGTTAGCTGTATGATGAAATTGAGAAGCAGTTTGATGTGGAGAGCCTTTATTTGTAAATGTACAGGGGTTTTGACATCTGGGTACTAAGTGATGCAAATTGATTTTGGCTTCACTTTTACTGCTGCTTGACTGGTAATTTCCTTGACTTTAATGGCTGTGTTTGCAGGAAATTCATTTAAGGAATCTTACTAGCTATTAACAACAGCCTTGTAGGAATATATTAGAAAGAGACAGTTCAATGAGGGAAAATAATATATCAGACACACCCAACTTGTTTGTTTGTTTGTTTGTAAAGAATAAACAGAACTGAATGAAAGCACTAGTCTAGTTTTAAAAGCACTTACAAGTGCTGGGACCAACAGGAAACAATTACAAAGGAATAGAAGTGCTCTTTCCCCCCTCACTACCCTCTTTCTCCTTTCTTGCAAAACAGAGAACAAACTGATGCTTTAATTTTTAAATGGGTGGTATTGATTCATTTCATTCATTCATTCGGATTCATTGAGCAGAGGCCCAAACTGTTATAAGACAATTCTTCAGTTCTAACAGATTGTCCCAAATGACAACTGGTCACTGTACAACTTCAGCTTGCACTTAGCTATCACTTATGAAGCTGTTAAAAAGCTTTACATTATCTGTATTTGTACGCTGACATGAAGGGGCAGACAGTGACCACTGGCATGAGTGCCTTTCCCTTAAGCATTTTCAATTTTTTCCTGTTGTAGGAAATCAGTGTTGCCCCATCTTTTACCAAGATGCATCACACAGACCTACCAGCAAAAACTGTATTAGAGTGGTTCCCCACCTAAAAGATGCACCAAACACCACATTTTCTCTTGTGCACAATGTGGAGCACAGACACCGGACTATTTTCATCCACTCAGGATTTCGCTGATGGGAATGGGAGAAAACAACAACAACAAAAACAAACAAACAAAAAAAAAACAACCAAACAAACAAAAAAAACCAACACCTTGAACTCCTCAGGGATTTAGCACCACTTCCATTAAAGGTAATATAATTCTTATACCCGAACTGGGATTCTATTTTATCATTTTCTTATCACTACAGCAAACAAAAAAAAAGCAAACAGGATTTACACTCACTCAGTGCCAGTCATGCCTGCCAAGAATTTGCATTTACAAAAAATGCTGGAGTTCAAATGAAGTACCAACATCAGGACTGGATTTGGCAGTGGCATATTCTCATATTTCTCGACAATATTAAAGTTTGACAGCAAAAAAGGTAACTAGACCAAAAAGTGAACCATGAGTGAACTCTCATCTGGAGAGACCTGAAGCAAAAAAGTCACTGTAGTGTATATATTTTAACACTATGTGTACTGTTCCAACAGACTGTAGCAAATGCAAGACTCTGCTGATGTTCCAGCTAGCAGGGTATTACAGTTTTGACTGCTTTCACTGTACCATTTGCAGGGATTTTCTCAGCTTCAGAATTTATGGTTAAAGTCAGAAGCTTACCTTAACAGCTTAACAACAACATTCACCTATATTCACATACCCACTTATACAAACTAAAGCAAAAAACACTTAGATGGAAGGACAACAAGGACAACAACTATTTAAATTCCATTACATGTATTTATTGAAAACTGTGAAAAAAAAAAAAATAGAAGAGTAAAGTACTGCAGTAATAAGACTTGTCTTTCCAATTCTATCTTTCTCCATAGGAGTGTGTATTTCTGGTACCAGCCAGGGATTTCAGGGAAGGGTTCATATAGCTCAAAGCTTCTGAATGTGAAACAGAATTAAAATTATTTGCCCCACACCAACAAGACATCCCTAGGCTTACATCAGTCACGTTCCTTTTACATATTTCTCAAATCATTCATCTTGTGCTTTGAAATAATAAAAAGCTAATAATTGTTATACACCTGCATGCCATGATCCAGGAGATTCCAGCTAAAGAACCTAACATTGGCTATGTTTTATTCCAAGCAGTGGAAAAAAAAAAAATTATTGGGGAAAAAGCTTATTACAAGAGGTACTCTGAGAACACCCTGAAAGAAAATTTTATTCTGAAAGAAGATGAAACATTTCATTAAATCAGTCTATGGGAATATGGCCATTTTAAGTCATGAAACAGAGGCATAAAAACTGATTTCCCCAAATCATATCAAAGCTCCTGGGAAAGTCCAAGAATTAAACTGATTCCCTAAATTTAAGTTGAGCACCTAAGGTTTAAATTAATCCTGCATTCCTAGCTTGTTTCTTATTTGGTGCTTTGGAAAATGAAAAACTATGAGTGAAATAAGTTTAGTGTGGTTTTATTTGTGTCTATTCCTTTTTAAACAAGTTTTTCTATTTAGATCAAAAAACAGTAAAGCACACATCATTGTGTACGCATCCTAGACTAAGCTATCTGAGCTTTTTGAAAATGACATTTTGGCATTGCAGGTAAATTTTTTAAATTCAATAAAGCATTCACATTTCAGTCATAATTTAAAACCATCCACAGTTATAATTAATCTATTTTTCAAAGGTACAAATTCAGAAATTAAAAATGAATCACGAACAGAGAAAATAGATCCAACAGTTAGAGCAATCCCTGACACTGTATTTGAGTTGCAAGTCTAGAGGACAATCATTTCTCCCTGAAATAAATAAAAAGATTTATATCTCTCTTCCCCAACACCTCTTGAAAGTCCCAGGGAACTGTGATGCAACCAGTGGTGGTCAAATTAAGTGGTTGTAGTGTGAAGGGAAAAATACAGTGGAAATAAAAATGCTTTTGATATGTTAAGCATTGATCCATAAACAATAAAATAAATAAAAATCTATCAATGAATTACAATAGGTAATTTATTTTCCACTCTTCTGCCTACATACTGAGGACCAAGAAAATTCAACAGAGCATGAGAAAAGAAGTGGTTTGGGTTCTGTAAAATTCAGATTTTCCCAAGGTGCTCAAGAGCACGTGGCTAAAATTTATTAAAATTCTTTTATCTCTGAGGTTTATTTTCAGTTCAAGATATGCCTTTCTACAAAACAGCAGGACCCCTCCAAAAATAGGTAGAAAACTGTAGAGTGCTCATTGGGCAATCAGATGAATCTTTAGATAAGGAATGCCTGCTGGCATGTGAGGAAAGACCTGAAAAAAAGAGAAAATCCTATTCCCAATATACAAAGAAATTTTCTAAGTAGGGTAACAGTCTGGTCTTTCTGGTCAGATGTCACTTATGCTGCAAGAAGGAGGTTTAAAAGTAGGCATTTAACAGTACTAGAAAAGCATCCGATGCTCATGGAGCATGTAAAACCTCATCACAAAGTTTCAAATACTTTTTAGACAAAG